AGGCCCCACGCTTCCGAGGAGTTGGCAGGGACCCCGAGGCGGCGTTTGGGAGAGTGAAGCCACAGTTACACACCACTCGAATTCTCTTGTAAAGGCCCTGGGGCCAGAGACGGTCCCAGTGGCCGGCAGGGTAGCTGAGTAGGATGCATAAGACAATCAGCTTAGGTGCCCCGTGAGTGAGCCCTAGTGGGGAAGCCACCTATCCCCAGAGGGGGCCAGGAGGTGGGACAGCGGCTGGCAGAGCTGGGGGCCTTTGCAGCTTTCTGTGGGCCCACAGGCTACCTGGGAAAGGGTGGTCGCCACAGGGAGGGGCAGGGCCTCCCCTAATGACGGGGGCGGGAGAGGGGCTGCCTTTTATCAGGGGACTTTTATTTAGCTGCCACTTCCAGTTGGTGAAGTGGACTTTTAATGACCCTTGCAAAAGCAAAGCTATATTCAAGCCACCCCCACCCCACCCCAGGGCCCATCAGATTGGTGCAGACATTCCTGTTTGACTGAAGACTCCTGGCCAATTCAACAAGAATGAAGAAAACCTATTTCTTCTGTTTCCTTTGTTTAAAAATGTAAACAAACAAACTTGGAAATGTACAAGTTTGTCAATAAGTGTTACGTACTTTGTTTTCTCTCCCCACCCAACTAGGAATCGAACCCCGAATCTTCACACTGAGCTACATCGCCAGCCCTTTTTTATTTTTTATTATAAGACAGAGTCTCACTAAGTCACCCAGACTGCATTCAAACATTTGGTCCTCCTGCCTCAGCCTCCCAGAGTGCTGGGATTGCAGGACAGCACCACCCTCAGAAAAAAAAAAGAAAGAACAAAACTTTCATTTTCTGGAAGTTTCTTATGCCTACAAGGCTTCCTGCACACCTCCCACTCCCCAGCCCAGAATACCCAGACAGACTGGTTTCTTCATAGACTACCTGGTAGGCTCTGCCGCGAGGTCCCCTTCAAACAAAGTCTCTGAATTAGCACCCAGTTCTGGGAGCCCGGGGCTTGATGTCTCCAGTCTGCACCTCTAAACGGTACCATTCCAGGCCTGAGCTGCTTCCTGAAAAACACAACCTCCCCTCCAGGTGTTTACTTAGCACTCTGTGGGCTCTGGCTGGGGACCAGCCCCCTCCCCAAGGGCTGGAAGATGGGAGCTTCAGAGTGCGGGATCCCTGCTTAGCCTGAGTCTCCCCTTCCAAATCCCCATGCCAGTGCACAGCCTGCCAAACTGTGCACCCAGACATGACAGGGGATTGCGAAAAGGCACCACAGACAATGTAGCTAATGGACCGGGGTCCCCTGCAAAGGGGCTGGGGTATCCGAATCTAATAGAGCGCACTGAGAGGAATGGCTGCTTCTGAGCATGGACCCGCTTCCTCTGTTCCTCCCTCTGCAAAGGGAGAGAGAAAGAGGACAGGAAGTAGAAAGGTAGGACTCTGGCTCTATCCTGAGAATCGCCTGCAAGCAATTCAGGCAGAATTTCTTTACACAATGGATGAGAGAACTGTGCACCAGGCTGCCAAAGTCAGCAGGACAAGCAAGTTCTGTGTATTCAGCTGGAGAGGGGCCTGGACACATTTCAGAAAGCGCAAAGAATCCGAAGACGGAGACACTGACTCCAGTCTGGGGTTGACAATCAGAAAATACAAGTTAATTTGTACTTCCCAGGACAGCACTAAGGACAGACAGGAGTAGGCAGACCCGGACCAGCTGGACGCTTTGGGACCATAACTACAGACCTTTCAAATTCTGACCTAGGCTAAGAAAGGATATTCTCTCCCAAAAAACCAATTGCATCATGGTATTTCTTTTTCCCTCTCAAATAGGTCTTAGAGGGCAATAGGTCTTGCAAGTGCAAGAACCAGAGTTCGATCCCCGGTACCCAAAAAACTAACAAACAAACCAAAACATCAAATAGGTCTTAGAGATCATCTTATCTAATTATATAAATAAGGAACCCACTCTAGAAAAATCAGACAATGGCTTCAGATTTCTCTGCAAATTAGGGGCACAGATGAGAATGAAGCCCAACTTCCCAGACCAGGTCCTCACAACACATTCCAAAGATCAATGAGTTACTGAATTCCAAGGTTTTCCCCTTCCTGGACTCTTTACAGAGTATCCAGGACCCCTGGCCAAAGTCAAATCTAAGAATGCATTCACACTGCTTGAGCTAAATGGTGTTAACAAAAGTGAAGATGTTTTGCAGTTCAGTCCACTGAGTGCAGAAGAAGGGTTAGCTAAATTAGCTCAGCTAATTTAGAAAAATGACTAAAATTGTTGTCCCTTGAGTGAAAGAACAGGTCATCATCCCAATGTTTTCCTTGGGTCTTTTAATCTCCCTTTAGCTTGGAAACTCTGAGGGTTCAGCCTGTAGCTTTTGTCCCGGAAGGATCACAGAAATGGCTCTAGGATATGAGGTGGATTTGGGGCTAAAGATATGGGACAAGGGAATAGAACAAAAGCGAAAATGGAGTAACCCTGCTAAATCTTTGAAATGTAAATAGGACAATTTATCATCGTGAGAAGAAACATCAAGGGTAGGCCTCGGATTGCATCTGAGTTAGGGAGCTTGAAATGTGGGAGCAGGTGTTTACTAGACTCAAGCCAGGTATGCAACGCTTGGAGAGGATTCGCTCCCTCTCACACAGTCTGGGGCTTATGACATATACTACAGTGAAATCTCATGTAAAAGTCATTCTCCGACCTTAGAAGTCTCACAATGCAAACACTGGTTCTCCCAGCTCAGTCACAACTTCTCTGCTTAGGGACAAACCCAGAGGCCCAGGTTGGGGGACCTCAGCAGTGCGGGGCCGTAGTTCACTTTAAAGGGGAATAACAGCGAAAATGTCACAGAGTAAGAGCTACACCACCGAGTCTTAGTTTTGCTATTGCCTGATCTCCTTTTCAAAAAGGTTCTTTAAAAAAAGTGGTTTTAAGTGAACTTCAGCCTAGACACTCAAAAGGTGTTGTTAACTAAATGAAAGGAGTGCTTGAGTCCAAAATTTTTACTGCAGGAATGTCTACTTTCAGATATACAAGCGTTCATAGATAGCAAAACCAGCTTTTCTAATACCTTACAGAACGAATTCATACCACGATATGTTTCCCCCAGATACCCCATATTTTTCTCAAACATTCTTCCCTGGGTAAAAACATATAGAAACTTAATTAGGGGAACGGTTTGCTCAAAAATACTTTAGCTCTACAACTTTGTCCTACTTCCCCGAGCTTACCTCCTGGCTGATACTGTTCTTCCACTGTTTTTTAACTTAAGGAAAAACAAAAACTACAGAAGCCACGAAGCACAACCTCCTAAAGAAACGGAAGCATTGCTCTCAACTGCAGGCACACACGTGTATTTTAAAGCTTTCCCGTCATCTTCTGGGAGGTGAGATCAGGGTGCACAGTAAGGTGAAGTGTGCCACTGCGTCGGTGGCCCCTTAAACGAAACTGAGAGACTTTGGGACTTCTCCGTGTGCCCCTCCCTTCCCATTCCAAGAATGTGAGGAATTTGAACTCCCGGTTCCTAAGGTGAAAGGGCATTAACTCAAATCTGCTCACCAAGAAAAGCGTTGGGGAATCCTGAGACCTGGAACTGTACAATGAAATCTCCCAGGTATAATACAGCAAGAGATGATCACTTCCTTCAATGCTTCAAGAGTAACTGGAAACAACACTTGAATTATGGGTCACGAATTAGGAGTCAGTGAGATCGCCGTTTGCATCTCAGTAATTCTCTACTCCTTTATTTCAACATTTAGCCTTAGGTTTAAAATATTTGCTAAGAAAGCAGAGAGGCGATTAACAGAGATTTTTACATGTGTGCCATAGTTACACGTTCTGTAGACAGAGTAAAAGGAAACTATACAGCAAAAGTTACAAAATGGTTATTTCAAGTTTCGCAAACATTCCAATAAACTTTGCACTGCGGTGTTATTCAATTCAACAGTGGGAAAAGCAAAACAGAAATCAAGAGCAGCCCCCAGCGCCTGTACAACCCCAAGAGCAATCTACGGGCTGCAGTTTTTGCCTGTGAATCTCAGCCAGGAAATCTTCCCACTTCTTGGAGAAGAGTTGGGGAGCCAGCAGAGAAATTGCAGCTCACTAGGGGACCCCAGAAGTTGCTCCAGCCCTAGGATAAATTCCTCCAGGCTACTCCTGGATTCTCTTCCCAAAGGAATAGATGTTGCCTGTCTGGGATGAGAGGTGTCTCCTGGTGAATAACTTAGCATGTTTGTTTGGTTGTGTTGTTTTTTTTAGGAAAACTCCTCTCTTCAAGCAGCTAGAGCTACCAGAGTCTGTAAGAGCATGGGCACCACTCTGATGTGGTGCTATTTTGTTGTTTTAAAATAGTTTAACGTTTTTATTATTTTTACAGCATCATTCCAACAGACTGTGTGACGGCAGTGATCACTAACACAACGCAGCAGGGCTGACAGCCAGCCGACTGCTACCCTGATAGCTGAGGCCGCAAGGGGACGAGTGATCCAGGTATGGCTGGACTCTTAGACGCTATTTAATAAATATCACCCAAAAGCAAAAGGGAAAAACAAACCCTCCAGAGCACAACCACCTCAGGTCAACTGAATGTAATCTAGTTTATTCAACCAAAAACTGAGAGAAGGGAAACATTAAAATAATTTTTTAAAAAAGCAGTTCTTAACACTTAGCAGTAAATAAATTTGTACAACAGTTCAGTCTGTATAATATGATGAAATAAATCTACATCTTTTCTTATTTTGGTGCTTTGAATTATACATACAAACAACAATTACAGAGACTTGTTCACAAAGCATGTAGGCCTAGAAAGTGACACTTCAAAACCCTCAGCGGCAATCTGAAAGCTCTAACACCGATTGCCCAGAACTGATATTTCCTTTGCAGAGGCCCACAGCTTTGAATGAATGATTTGCCTACAATTTTTTTTTCTGTTTTCTTTTTTTTTTCTTTTTTTTTTTTTTTTCTCTCTATATTTTTTTCATCATTTTTTTTCTTTTTTTTTTTTTTTTTTTTTTTTTTTTTTTTCTCTCTCTATATTTTTTTCGTTTAATGCATCAAACAACTGTGGCCAGTGAAAGGAAACAAAACTGGCAGTTTGTCCATTTGGATTATCAGCCCTAGTTTCTTCTGACTTTCCATATTTTATTTCCCCCATATTCCTTAAAATTCTCGGCGTCCTTCATGCCTTTCTTACAGCTACCCAGGTGCAATAAAGTCTTCCTCAAATGTACAGTATTTCTTACAATATAAGTTATAAGCAATGTTCAGCAATTTTTTCACAGCACTAGAGACCCTGTTAAATAGGGAACGTGAGTCTGAATGGCTTATTCACAAATGGGACCCAGATTCAGTGGTCAGAACAGAGACACCACCACAGTGAGCTTCTTGCAAAAGTGGCAAACATCATTTTGCTTTCTGCCTTCGAAACCATATATCCGTCGCTTTTAGGCTTCATGATACTGCTCCTGCAAAAACGCAAGTAGAAGGGGCTGGAGGGACTCTTGCTCGCTCACTCGCTCTCGGAGACCTGAGCACATCCAGCAGGCCCTAGCCCATGGCAGTGACCATACTGGAAGGGTGGTGAGGTCCGAAGGAGAGGCCGGAGGGCGGGTGCATGGGCGTGGGGGTGGTCAGCATGTGGCTGGAGTGGCTGAACGGGGAGATGTGGCTCAGGGAGGACATGTGTCTGGACAGGGCGGCCGGGTTGAAGGAGCTGCTCTTGGGGAAGTCCTCCAGCGTGTCGTGCACCTTTTTGCACTTTTTGGATTTGCTAGACATCTTCCGGTTTCTGGTCTGGATGCCTTCCTTCTTCATGGTCAGGGGTCTGTTAATCTAAACAAAGATCAATTTTTTTTTTTTTTTTTTTTTTTTTTTTTTTTTTTTTTTTT